TTGGTCACACTGGTAGACACACACCCGGCACTTCCGGGCCCTGACTTGTGACTGTCCACCTCGTCTTTAGCTTTTGAAAGATATGTTGTCAGCATCCAAAAATTAGTTCCCTAAGCATTTGGTACCATGTACTTAATTTCTAAGTGTTCGTACTCTGATCTGGTTCCACAGTTGGGAATCTCTTCTCACTAAATCAGAATGGTGAATTAAGTTTTATGTATAAAAGTGTTCATCTTAACAAAATTTATAATAGTGAAAAGTTGAAAAATCTAACAGTGAGTGAAATAAGGTACATACACATGCTGGAATATTATGCAGACTTATGGGAATGCCCTGGTAGTCCAGGGGCTGACTCTGAGCTCCCAATGCAGGGAACCTGGGTTCGATCCCTGGTCAGGGAACTAGATCTCACATGCCACAGCTAAGACCTGGCACAGCCAAATAAATAAAAAGACGCTTGTTTTGCCATAAAAAAAAATTCCATTTATGAGAGTATATACTAGTATAGACAAAACCTTGACTTTTAAGCATGAATTCGTGTATGTTCAGGTATCCATCAGTCACACTGTGGAGAGCCAAGGTGTTTCATATAATGAAACACTGAGGGGAAACAGAAATCTGGAGTGAATCAAATGGAACAAATGATTTTTTTCAATTAAAATATCAGAAAAATATCAGAAACTCCAGAAACCCACAGCCACTGCAGCTCCGGGTCTCATTCTCCATCTTGAGTTATGGGTCATGAAGGGCAAGGAGAATGGTCTGGGTGTGGATGGAGTGGGAGGTGTGCGTGTCTGCACTGCTGTGGAAGGTGGGCTCGCTGAGGGTGGGTCACTGTCCCTGCCGCCAGAGGTGTCGGGTGGGAAGCCCTGCTGCTCAGCCGGAGGTCTGTCTGCCGAGAGAGGCAGTGGTCTCCTCAGAAGGAAGCTCCCACCCCTGAAGCTCCTGTCCTGAGAGTTCATTGCTCTCACGTACTGTCCTCCCAGGCTCGTCTGCCGTTCCGTTAATGGGCCAAGTGAGGAAACATTCGCTGACCCTGTGTGCTACACTTGGTCGCTCAGTCGTGCCCGACTCTTTGTGACCCTTTGGTCTGCAGCCCGCCAGGCTCCTCTGTCCATGGCATTTCCCAGGCAAGAATACTGGAGCGGATTGCCATTTCCTCCTCCAGGGGATCTTCCCAACCCTGGGATCAAACCCAGGTCTCCTGTGTCTCCTGAGTTGCAGGTGGATTTTTTTGCCACTGAGCCACGCACTGTGCTCAAAGACAAAGATATAGGAACGAAGTCTGCAGTGGGGATAGATTTGTAATCCAGCAAAGTTTGATCCAGTGGATGATGACAGTAACAGAGCATGTGATGTGTCTCACTAGATAGGGGTGTTGAGGGGAAGGCCTCCTGCAGGAGAGGCCATCTGAGCTGCTCCTTGAAGAGGGTGGTAGAAGGTAGGACCTCTTCACTCCAGGCAGAGGGAGTAACCAGGTCTTGTGAGAGGATGGCTCCACCAAACACCCTGTGTATGCATGTTTCATCCTCAGAACTAACGTTGTACATTTATGCTGGTGTAGAGTCTCTTGGGCTTCCCTGTGGCTCAGACAGTAAAGAATCTGCCTGCAGTGCAGGAAACCTGGGTTTGCTCCCTGGGTTGGGAAGATCCCCTGGAGGAGGACATGGCAACCCATTCCAGTATTCTTGCCTGGAGAATCCCCATGGACAGAGAAGCCTGGAGGGCTACATTCCAAGGAGTTGCAGAGTCGGACATGACTGAGTGACTCAGCACAGCACAGAGTCTCTTATTTAATTTAATTATGTCCATGGAGCTTAACACAGTGCTTGCTTTATAGAAGATGCTCAGCACATGCCTGTTGAATTGATTTGAAGTGAATGCTGTGATTTTTTGATACAACTTATAAGCCAGCCTCCAAAAGAGATCCCATTATAAGGCTGTTTACATAGAGATGGGATGGGAGCACAGAGTGATTTTTATTTTATCTTCCCAGTTATATCCTGTTTCCTGTCTTGCAGTTTTTCCTTCCTTCTTTCCCACTCATATTAAAGCCTGTGGTATAACACTGAGCCCTGGGTGGGTCTGATGAATATGCCATAACTTGCTTTAACCTTCTTTCTTCCTGCCTCCATTATCAAGAACTCCCCTCGCCCGCTCTGACTCCTTACAGCCTGATGTAACGTGGAAAAACTAGAGACTGATCTTATTTCTGAAATTTAGTTGATCTTGTGATGGGTGCTGAGATAGCATGGGAACATGGTGATCCCTGCTTTGGGCTGACTCAGTGAAGGACACTGTCACAGAGATGGCCCAGATGAGGTCTCCTGCACTGTCATCATAGCCCATGTTGATTGAGTGTTTCCCGTGTCCGGGGTACTGTTTATTCTAGGTGCTTCTGTATGTCCACTCAGCTTTCTCAGAAGCAGATGAGCGCACGTCCTTCTACTTCACCATCTGGAACCAATAACTCATTGAATCTTAACAAAAGTATTATCATCCCTCTTTCATGGATGAAGCTTCTCAGAGTATTAAACAACGTCCCCGAGATGCTGTTATTTGAGTCTAGAATCTGGTTCCAGAGCCTTGGCACTTCTGATACTGGAAATGAGCTTCAGTTTCTTCACCATCAACCATTCTTGTCCCACAGTCACCAGCAAAGAAGGCCCGAGGGCCTGCTTCTCATAGCGTGGTGCTGGTCAATGTTGGGGTGTATTGGTTAGCGGGAGCTAATGCTGCCTGTCACTTGGCACATAGAAAGCCCTATTTAAATATTTCCACATTTATTGGGACAGAGCACACACAGCCCAGCCAATGACGTCTTTAATTAAAGTTAAATAAGCCAGGTAGGTTTCTTGCTTATGTGACAGCGCAGCTCAAGCATTCCCATTCTTTTCCATGTGGTGATTCAGGATCCCAGGCTCCTTATAGAATTTCTGTGTGCCCTGGGGTCTTGGAGTGCTCCGGGAGAAGTTTAAAGAGAAGGAGGAAAAGGGACATCTAAACTGCCCAGGCCCAGAATGGATGCGTATGACTTCCACGTACTCTCTGGGTTCCCTTGCTGAGAACTGGTCACTGGTCCCCTAGATGCAAGAGGGGCTGGTACCTGGGTCCCTGCAGGAGCACAGATTTCCAGGGAAAGCTGTATGTACAGAAGGGGGGACGTGGCTTTCAGCAGACTGTTTGCTGACTCTGCCATGGATATTTAACACAGTGAGTCACTTGAGTACATTTGTGTGGCAATAAACATTTTGTACCATGGAATCCACATCCTGAAGTATTACATTCTCAGATACTGAAGAAAGGTTAAAGAGGAGGGGTATATGGCATTTGATAATGGAAGGAGAAGGCGAGTTATGCAGGAGAAAATATTCAGCTTTCAAAGGCTTAAGTAAGCACAGCTGAGGAGTTCCAAATAACAAGATTTGTGGATTAAAAAAAAAAAAAAGATATCTTTTTCCTTTCTCACCCACGCTGTACGGCTTGTGGGATCTTAGTTTCTCCGAGCAGGGATCAAACCCATGCTTCCTGCAGTGGAAGCGCAGAGGCTTAACCACTGGACACCAGGGAAGTCCCGAAAAGAGACTTCTGTGTCTTCATTCATCTGCTCCTTCGTTCTTTCAACAGATTCCACCAGAACCTGCCTGCTGCTGGCTCTCTGCTTACTGTGGAGGTGGGGGGGTGGCTAAGAGCCGGAAGGGAGGAGGTGATGGGAGATGCAGAGGGTGGTCAGCACAGGCGTGCTGCTAGGAGTGGTGTGTGTTCTTACAGGGACAAGAATACATACAAGCAGCATGTTGTGCAGGTACTGGAAGAAGCTATTAAGCATAATCCAGATAGTGGGGTTTTTTTTCTTTCTTTTTTTTCCCGTTCAATCTTGAAAAAGTATCTCCTGAGACATTACATGAGAGAAACTTTCCTAAAAGCTTTTAGGGTGCAGTACTTCATTAAACAGATTGATGATCTAAAGAAGAAAATGTCAGATTCCAATAAATAAGAAGCAGTTGTATGTTCTTTTGAGAATATAATGTTTTTCAATAAAAATGAGTAGAAAAAATGAGTCTCATATTCTGATATTATAAGGTTTGTGCTCATCTTATCCAGAAGAAGTTGCTGTTGTTCTTAGTACACAAGGAGTTTGATTTATGATGGGAACTGCCGGCGAAGAAGATCTGTCATAATATTTTGTAGCCACGCCCTGGAGCGATGCTAATAGCCTTCTGTGCTACACACGACGGTGTGCAGAGCAGCCCTGTGTGACTGGCCCAGTCACCCTCTGTACCCTTGCGCAGCAGGTAGTGGTTAAGTGGATATTAGCATCAATGTTAGTGGTGGTCATCGTATTACCATTGTCCCCAGTTTACATAGGAGACTGTCACTTGAAGATGTAAGTAATCTTCTCAGAACCTATAAGTTTAAATTCCCCAGTAGAGAAAATACATTTTAAATTCTGTCTAGCAACATCTATATTCAAGAATTTTTAAACAAAAATATCATGGTAAGAAACTATATTCCAATAAAAATTAATTTAAAAAGGAAAAGAAAAAATTTTATTGCACTTTTAACTTAAAGAATGAAAAATCTAATTGAATTTTTTAAAACCCCATTTACTTCTCATCTCCTGTTGGCGGGCTGAGGGGTGGACAACAGCAGCTTGAAAAAATTTGGTTAATATTTCCTGACAGTGCAATATTTTCCATGCTTAGAACCATGTCTTTTTTTTTTTTGAAGGTCAATTAATTGCCTTTTTCATTTCCCTTTAGTCTTTACAGTGTTTGATTTTATGGTACATTAAGTCTGGGGGGAAAGATGCACAAAGTGTGGGGCTTTTATTCTTGGGGCCAATTTTTTTTTTTTCTCTTTGGGGACTTAACTTGTTCTTTTCAACAAAAGTGCATTGTGTGCCAGGAGCTGCACTAGATCTGAACTCCCTTGCTCTCACAACTTACTGATGAATTGCGCTGTCGCTTCGTGCCTAATGTCCAGCTCTGTTCCCTCAGGTGGGGTGACTGCCCTCTGTTGGGACCCTGTCCAGCAGGTGTTGTTCTCAGGGAGCTCCGATCACTCTGTCATCATGTGGAACATCGGTGGGAGAAAAGGAACAGCCATTGAGCTCCAAGGACACAAGTAAGGCTGCTGGTGCTTTTTTTAAATCTTATTTTATGCTTTTATTTTTGGCTGTGCTTTTCGGCTCGCAGGATCTTAGTTCCCCAACCAGGAGTGGAACCTGCACCCTCAGCAGTGAAAGCTCGTAGTCCTAACCACTGAACCACCGCCAGGGGATTCCCTGCTGGTGTTTTTACAAAGAACTCTGGGAGAAGACTCCGGGCTGAAAGCTAGAACAAAGGTACGCAGGCCAGTCTCCGTGCCCAGAGCTGAGCGTGGGAGTACTCTGGCAGGGACGCAAATGGCCACTTTGATTTATATCTGTACGGAAGTATGTTTATTTATTTATACCCTATTTTAGTTCACAGAGGATTTGAGAGTGCTTACAAAAAAGCCATAAAATAAAATAATGCCAGCAAAGAAGTAAAAGGTAAAAAGGAGAACCAGGGAGAAGACCATAAGAGTAAATGTTTGAGAGTAAGGGGGAAGAAAGAACTTCAAAACACAAGCCACGAAGTCCTACAGAATTTCTGTAATTGAGTTCAAATGTGGCTGAAGATTACTGGCAGCTGAAGGAGAAAGGGAGTGATAATATCCTCACCTAGTACATTCTGTCCTTCCCCAGACAGTTACTGAGAACTTAATTCATATCAGACTGTTCTTCCTTATGGGGTGGATTTCAGGAGGCCAAGGGGAACAGCAGAGAAAAGCTTAGTGCTTTTCCTGGGAGCAGTTCTCACCCTTTGCCTGCACAAGAAATCAGCAAGGGAACTGCAAAGTAGATGCCTGGGCCCTGTCCTCTGAGATCCTCACTGGTCTGGAGCTAAGGGTGTCTGTGCCGTCACAAGCTTCCCGGGCAACTCTCTTGGGGACCCTCAGACCTCACTGATTCATCCTACTTGTGCCGCCCACAGTGCCTGGAGGCCAAGCCTGATCCTGTGGCTGGAAAGAATCTTCTGTCTGCTTTAGAACTCTAAAGTTAATCCGAATTGTTTTTAACTTTTAAAGTTTCCAGACATATTAAGGATGACTCTAATATCAACTTCCCTGAACTGGCTGGTTTTAAGTGGAATTAGCTCTGCCTGCAGATCTGTCTGGAAACACTAGTTTTAAAAACTTCTCCTGGGACTTCCCTGGCAGTCCAGTGGTTAAGGCTTTGCCTTCCAACACCAGGGCTACGGGTTCTGTCCCTGGCTGAGGGGATGAGATACTACTTGCCTCATGACCAAAAAGCCAAAGCTTAAAAACAGAAGCAGTATTGTAACAAATTCAGTAAGGACTTTAAAAATGGTCCCCATCAAAAAAAAACAAAAACCTCTTAAAAGCAAATAAACTTCTCCTAAGTAGTTAATTTATGGTTTGGAGTTATTAAATATGAGCTAATTCAATTTGGGGCTTCCCACGTCGTTCAGTGGTAAAGAATCCGCCTGCCAGTGCCAGGAGCCGCAGGTTTGATCCCTGAGTGTGGAAGATCCCCTGGGGTAGGAAATGGCAACCCACTCCAGTATTCCTGCCTGGAGAATCCCATGGACCGAGGAGCCTGGCAGGCTACAGTCCATAGGATCGCAAAGAGCCAGACACGAACGAGCATACACACACACAATTCGATTTTAGAGGGCCTATGCGCAGACCATTATTTTTTGTGTTTAGAGTTCAGTTTTAGAGACATAGCTATTAAGCCCTTCTGTCCCACATGAGAGAACAGATCAGTTGTCTGGGGCTACCCCTGGCTTGTGGAGCCACTTGGACCTCAGTACCAGGTCATTAAAGGAATTGTTCCCTTCTGTTTCTCTCCGTGACAAAGGGACGCATACAGAGGTCACATAGAAGGAATTGACGTCATCCATATAAGTGAAGAAAAAGAAAAGTCAAATACAGCCCTCCCTCACAGTGGGTTCAGTCATGGTGGACTCTTTGAGACCCCACAGAAGAATACTGGAGTAGGTTGTCATTCCCTTCTCAAGGGCATCTTCCCCACCCAGGGATCGAACCCAAGTCTCCTGCGTCTCCTGCATTGTCAGGCGGGTCCTTTACCTCTGTGCCACCTGGGAAGCCTTGTTTCACAACACACGGTTATTATTTAATCTGCCAAGTAATTCCTGCAATTTGGGCTCCTTCAGAGAAATAAAATACAGGCTTAGAATGAAGATCAGTAATACTTGTTGGACTCATCCAGATTAGCTCATAACTAGCTTTATTTTTACGCAGTGGTTCACAAAGACTGCTGGAAGGGCGAGGGTCAGTTCTCAGCACCAGCATCTCTGGGTGCGGCGTGTCCTCAGGCAAAACGTGCTGGGAAACCTTCCAGTTGGGTAAGAAAGGAAAAGGCTATCAAGTGGAGATAGAGTCTCTCAGTCCCAGAAGAGTGAAACCTAAACGAATAGGTCTTCCAGTCTCTAAGACATACTGGCTTGGACTTTTAGAAAATAAAGCAGACTATCCTTGGAGTCCACCCTGATGTCCATCCTGAAGTCCACCCTCATAGGATATCATACCTTGGTGGAGCGGGCAGGCTGGTGAGATCCAGAGCTGCCAGGCAGAAGTGCCTTGGACAAGAATAGGAAGGCCTTGACTTGGTGCTTATTTAATTTAAATTTAGTAACAAGGTAAAGTGTGTGAGGGGCTCCTTGTCACCAGTCACCTCAGAGGGGTTACCCTGTTGTCACCGAAGTAGGTGAGAGAGCTTCCTCAGTGTCACTGACTTCACTCTGTGAGAGCAGGTCTGACACCTGAGCCGGGCGGAGGGGAACACCAGAACCACTGACAGGAGGGGGGTGGGGTTCATAGAGAAGGGGCCAGGACGTGCGGCAGGAAGGATAAGGCCACGTTTACAGCATCCATTCCTTTGCCCTGGAACTTGACCACTGGATTCATGTTCAGTGATTCTCATGTTTGAGTAGCACCTAATATTTTGTCAAGGAGGTTTCAAAACACACAGACACCTCAGTTTAATCTTATAATAACCCTGTGAAAGAGGGAGGTCAGATACCTTTTTTTTTTTTTAATGAAAATACTGAGCTTGTGGGCTTCCCAGGTGGTGCTAGTGGTAAAGAACCCAGCTACCAATGCAGGAGACATGAGACATAGATTTGATCCCTGGGTTGAGAAGATCCCCTGGAGGAAGGCATGGCAACACACTCCAGTATTCTTCCCTGGAGAATCCCATGGACAGAGGAGCCTGGCGGGCTACAGTCCATAGGGTCGCAAAGAGTTGGACACGACTGAAGAGACTTAGCACACACGCACGCATAGAACTTCCATCTTCAAAGACCCCAAAACTGGTAGCTTAGGACTCCCAGATCAGTCAGGTGGAGGAAGCTTCTAGAACCTTCCTTGTAGTCTGTGCTAGGCCCTGGGGGAGAAAACATTGTGAGCATTGAAAAACATATGGTCCCCACCATGCCGCATGGTGTTTTCTGTCACCATTCTACTTCAGAAAGCAAAGACTTCCTGCTTAGGTCTGAGGCTGCGCCTTGCTCTCCTACAGCTCCCCATTTCCCTACCTTCCTTCAGGGTGACCGTTGGCGGCCCGAGTTCCAATTCGTGGACCAAATCCTTGAGTTCAGGCACCGGGGAGAGCAGACGGAACCTGAGGCCCCCCGCCCCTTGCGGTGGGGAGACTCCCTTTCCCTCTTCTAGAAATGTCCAGCCGCGGTGTGGAGGGACAGCTCCCCGTGGCTTCCGTCCCGGGTTCTGAGCTTTCACACCATCCTTCCGTGGGGAAGCATGACATTTATGTAGCCAGTTTGATTTGATGTGTAAAAAAATCCCATCAAAGCAGAGAGAGCTTTAGCACAAGTAAGTGATTGATGACAGTGAAAATGTCTCCAAGTCCAAGGGAAAAAAGCTAAGAAAGTATACTTCTCTAGCACAGTATTATCTGCATTTGAAGCATTTTGGTACTCATACTACCTGGAGCTTGTGAGACATGAATTATGTGCAAGCTCTGTGGAAAGAAGGCAGAGACAAGGTTTTCCACTTTCAGGGACCAGTTACATTTTTTTGAGAATCAGTTACCAGTTAGATGGATATGATCGAAGCATAAACCTGGACATTTATTGTCCCAGGCCCACTTTGTCAAATCTGATCAGGAGACTTGGACTTTTTATATTCTTCTATAGTATCTATCATTTCATAACCAGCTTTATGGTCACATTTTTTCTTTCTAATAGTGTTTTCTTAGGTCTCTGAGACTTGCTAGCAATTTAATTTAGTGGTAACTTGATTTGAAGCACATGTAAGGAACTTGCCTGGCGGTTCAGTAATTAAGACTCCATGCTTCCAATGCAAGGGGCCTGGGTTCAGTCTGTGGTCAGGGAACTAAGATCCCACTTGCTTTGAGGCCAAGAAATAAATTTAATAAAGTTCCTTCATAACAGTGAGCCAACACTGGGGGCTAGACCGTGTGTTAAGCAGCTTTTAAAACATGTGTATGTGTGCTCAGTCGTGTCCAACTTTGTGACCCCATGGACTGTAGCCTGCTAGGCTCCTCTGTCCTTGGGATTCTCCAGGCAAGAATACTGGAGTGGGTTGCCATTTCCTTCTCCAGGGGATCTTCCCAACCCAGGGATTGAACCTGCGTCTCTTATGTCTCCTGCATTGGCAGGCAGGTTCTTTTACCAGCTGAGTCACCAGGGATAATAAAATAAAATTAAAAATGAAGCAGAGGCAAAGGTCTGCGTGGTCCCTTGTGGTGGATTTCCCCACCAAGACGGGGATACACAGGCTGCCTGAGGCTCTGTCATAGCCACGACCCGTGGCATACACGGCCTGTGTCTTTGCGTCCTCTTTCCACAATCCCAGTAGGGTTTCTCTTTTGATACTCTTACCACAGGAAGACTTTTGTTATCAGCCTTCTCAAATTCTTTTGGTAAAGCAATAGGCAATTCATCAATAAATGTGCACTGGGAGGATTTATGCTTTTCTCTTGTATCGAAGTCATGAAAGGAAGTAACATTCTCGCCTTCAGCTTCTTCTGGGTTTGGGGGAGGAGCTCAAGGATGAATACGTATGAAAGCTTT